TCAGGCTAATTGTCAGTAAATTACTTAGTCCATGTGTTTATTATTCAGATATAAACCCAGGGACTCGACATGAAAATGGCATTACACTGCTGTAATCACAGACTAATCTTTTACAACTATGGCCCTACACCCCCAAACTGCATCACTAACAAAACAGCAGCTTTTGAGCAAGTTAATTCACACTGTATTCCACCATCCAGCCATGAGGGTAACATTAGCAGGCACTATTGCTATACACTTTCCTGTAACTCCATAAGAATAATCTTTAGTAAATAATAATTCAATCAGAAAGACTGAATTTAAAACATGGAATGAAATTCAATACAAAGAAAATCACTATCATCTTCATTGTAAATGTTTTGTGTTCCTGAAGATAACACACTTCTGCAGTTCTTGGTGACCAACTCCCCTGCTCTGTACCCAGGGCATGACAGCCAGCCTGTTACTTAAAGTATTTGGCATAATGGACATAGCAGTGCCTATAGATAAGGGAGTTATTTCTTTCTGATAATTTCTAGATTGCATTTAGATTTTTAGTGGTGGTAGATGATGAAAGTGTTAAAAAGTTGAAATAATTTAGTAACCTCTGAAGATCAACACCTGCTCAGATATGTTAAATTCAGGTTGGCTCTCCATTAGCCCCACATCTCATGTTGTAATTCAGTTTTAGATTGTTAAATTCAGGTTGGCTCTCCATTAGCCCCACATCTCATGTTGTAATTCAGTTTTAGATTGATCCCTTGTATGCTGGCATTACATGCAGTGCTCTTGAGCCTGAGCTGAATGTACACTAAGCTACCATCCCTTGTTTCTAGCAATAAGAAAGCACATTCTTGGCTAGTTTCATAACAGAGATGCTCTACACCGCTATTTCCTGCCTTTTTTTAAACTTTGAAACCAAAGTGAGCACTGGAGAAAGTAAATGACATTGCTTCTCTTGTGTTTTACCATAAAAAAAATAGAAAATTAATATTAATAAAGTAAAAATGCATTGTGCAAGCCTCATCTTTTATTATATTTAATCTTTTATTATATTTCATGCCCAACTGATGGTATAAGTGAAGAAGAAACTGTAAACCAACTCATGTATGCACATGAGCATACATTTGCTGTCAACAGAAAGACTCTCAGGGACTTCAGTTAGTACTAGATTGCAGTCTTCATATTTACATTTAAAAGTATTCCCCACTGTGTCCTTACACAAATTATTAGCCTATTCAAATTCAATGAATGATAAGTGGAAGATGAAAAAGTATGCACTAAATATCTGACAGAGAATGATTAAAGAAGGGCAGTTTTGAGAGCTGTCACTCTAGAAATTCCTTCTGGCTTTTCATCAGGGAGATATCCCCTCTCAGTGTCTTGACATTTTTTATCCAACCACTTGAAATCAGAAAGAAAAAGAAATATGTTTTCCTGTGTTCGAATGATTGTATAAGACAGAACAATAAAAAAGAGAAAGTATTTTTCATTATAGAGTACTGCTGGAAAAAAACCAAGCACAAAACAAAAAAAAACCCAGCCACAAAAAAAATCACAACTGAAGAACCCCTGCTGTTGATGTCAAAATGTTTATATATTCACCTGTTGCTCTCCCACTATCTTCCTGAATTTTTTAATTTGCAAGAACAAGATAGGAAAAAGTAGTCACTAATGAAGAAATGCTTTATCTGAATAAAACACCTTGTTCCAGTAAGTAGCATTTTCCTCTCTCTTTAGCATGCACAGCCTTTATTTCAAAACATAATCTAATAGCTGCTGTTTTCCAGTAATTCAAACTAGTCATAAAAGTATATTTAATTATTGTAAAATCAATGGCACAAGATAAATGTGTTCTACTCAGTTGCATTTCCATGAAACCAGACTTTTCTGACACTTTAAAATCCCTGTAGTGGACTCAGAAAAAGCTGTGTAACTGTTCTAAAGCAGAAAAAGCTAGACAAATGCATGAGTAGAATCAGAGAATCACAGAATTAACTGAGTTGCAAGAGACCATCAGGATCATCAAGCCCAACTCCTGGCCCTGCACAAGGGCCAAGAGAATCCCACCTTGTGCTCGAGAGCATTGTCCAAATGCTTCTTGAGCTCTCTAGGCTTGGTGCTGTGACCACTCCTCAGGGCAGCCCGTTCCAGTGCACAACCACCCTTTGGATGAAAAATCTTTTTTCTAATATTGAACCTAAACCTCCTGTGACACAGCTTCAGGCCATTCCCTCGGGTCCTGTCACTGGTCACCAGAGACAAAAGATCAGTGCCTGCCCCTCCATTTCCGCTTGTGAGGATGCTGAAGACCACAATGAGGTTTCCCCTCAGCCTCCTCCTCTGCAGCTGAACAGACCAAACGCCCTCAGCCACTCCTCAGACAGCTGCCCCCCAAGACCCTGTGAGGAGAGGCTGAAGGTGGCACAACTATCTTGATTCACAATGCCTTTTCTGAAACATAGTAAGCAAATATTATCCCCAGACTAAAATCCAAACCAGACAGAAGATCCCTAGTTTAAACCATTGCTCCAGTAGCCTCTTTTATTATACCAAGTTCTTTCCTTAAAATATGAAAAATGTTATGAATCAGGTACTCATTCAGCATTTAATACATTCTTCCATTTATATGATTTATAATATCAGTATTGTGCAATAGGTCTTACCCCCAAAATTATCTTCAACATATATATAAATGTTAAAAACCAGAAAAATTTATTATGGACAGAGTAAAGACTCAGTAAAAAAATAATCATTATCATACTAACTTCAAACAAAATAAATTTATTTTGACTCCTTTGCAGACATCCTTATTCTTTAAAAGGAATAAGTATGTAATATAGAACAATTAGTATTTTCCATTTCTTTGAAACATTGATGAGACTTGGGCAATGAAAATATGGATGTTGACTAATAAACAGGGTTATTAGCTGGCAAGGTTTTGACTGGTGATGTGAAGTTCAAAACTGCATGACTTAACTCCCTAGTTCTAAACTCTGAGGTCCAAAATACCATTCAAATGAACATAGCAAAGAACAAGAATTTTCAGGCCCCTCATCAGAGGAGTGGGAGAGCTCACAGACACAAAATTATAAGAAAGAATTGAAGATCTATTTAGCAGCTCAAACTACCACAAAGTACCATCCTGCTCTGGAGTGTGACAATAAAAAATCAAAAACCAAAATATGGCAGATGCTTTCCCAGTAAGGTCTCATACGTGTCAACAGGCAGCAACTTCACTTTGGGAATGCAAACAAAATACAGGACTCAGAGGGGAGAAGGGTCTGTCAAACAGCTCAGCGTGCACCACACAATTCCTGCTCTACACACTTCAGCACCAGGGGAGCAAAGCCATGAACCTGCCTCCTGTGCTGTCCTCAAATGGTTGTAGAGACATCCTAGGGAGCAATAGAGAGCTCTGTCTCTAAGCCATGTATGTACACAGGACTGCTTCTGTTACTGTTTTTTTGTCTGATATACAAGAGATGAAGATTTTTTTTAATGCACCCCTTCTGCCCCCTATTTAAAGAGCAGGAAAATGTTCTTAAGGATTGATATCATGATCAACTCAGGCAATTTCTGCCTTCATTTACATTCTCTAAAATTTCGCTGATACTCATGGAAACACACAAAATGAATGTGAGAGACTTATGCAATATTACTTACTATAAGCTGATGTGGACACCAGTTCAGGAACTCAATAAGCACTTTGAAAAATACTCTGAAATTAAGACTTTAGACTTCACTGACTCAGTTTTCTTAATTTGTCAGCTTTCAAACCTTTGGATCTGAAATCCATACTGGTTTGCTCCTCGCTCACGCACAGGAAGCAGTCAAAAAAAGGCACTTTGTTCTAAATCTTGTAATTTGCACATGTGGAACAGAGAGAAGAAACCAATCTTTGATCTAAATTTAATTAAACACTTTTCTCATTGACATGTGAGCTTCTTCTCTCCTTACAGTTCATTCACTGGCTAAGAAATTATTTTTCCAGCCATTATCAACTTTCACAGTACTGCTAAAAAGGCTTAATATGGGAAAAAATGCATTTCAGTGGCCAGAGTTAATAGATATGAGTTGCAAATGTACATTGCCATGAGATTTGTTAAGGGAGAAAGCATTCTATCAGTTTTCAAAATAAAACCATGTTTTGAGCTTTAAATTGGCATAGAGGAGATGATTTGGGTGGAATTAAAGGACTCTCCCAAAACACTAAATATTGGCAATGAAAACTTCAGTCCCGACTCCTGTAATAGAAAACCACAAGATATTCTGTGCTCTTTTCTATAGGGATTTATAGGACTACAGCAAGGAAAATTTGCTTTGAGTAATAATGTTTGCAAAAGAAGCTTCCAGTACACAGCCTTCTTTGTGCTGGGATGGCAGTGGTGACATTCCACAATTCAGCCCAAATTTTGGAAGAAATGGGGGCTGTCATAAAAGTACCAAACAAAATGCAGTTTCTATATTTTATAAGGATCCTGAGCCATTGGTTTTTATAATTTATTCAGCACTTGCAAGATAAAATCTTCTGTATATATTCCTTGAGTCCCCCCTACCTTGGGGAAGAAGCTTTTACTTTCTTCAAGTTGAAAGAAAACATAGATTTTTTTTTTTTCTTCAGACACTGCTATAAAGAAGATAATATCTCAGCATGAAAGTTTTAATGATATTGTCTTTGTGGCTCAAAAATTTCAGGAACAAGTCATCTCATTTTGTTTTAGTCTGAAGCTCATAATCCTATTCACTACATTAAATTAGTAAGGTCTTCAGAAGCATTTTTTGACAGCTGAACATAATTGTCATGTCAAAAGAGGGTTTTCAAGTTCTGGACTCTTAATACCTACACTGCTCTGTCTCCTAGTCCACCCCATAGATCAGCTGTTTTCCACGGCACTATAACACTGGAGAAGTGAAGTTATTGAAAACTTAATCTAAACCCAGAGGTTAAAAACTCCTCAAAACCTATAATTTATCCCAAACTTTATCAATTAATTAATTAGAAGTCTTAGAAAACTTACCTTTAAAATTTGGTCTGATTCTAGCATCATACCCCGATGTCCTTCCCATCAATTTGTCCAAAAAATCTGAAGGAGACAGGGTCTGTGAGGGGGATTTTCCAGATCTTGAATCATGTTCTTTACAGAAAGTCGTCCTAAATAAATTATTAGCCACCATTAGCTAATATTTAGCTTGTATTGTATTCAAGTCATGGAGAAATTACATAACTAAATAAAATTGTCTCAACTCAGTGAAGGTAGAAATTAATGTTCTTAAAGAGCAACATACTCTACCTTTCATCTGAAAAGTTTATTCTAGAAATAAAGATAAGTTTCAGGTATCATGCATGAACACAATTTCTATTCAGAAAAAGCCTTAGCTTTAAAAAAAAAAATTCATTACAGTTTTTAGACTTTAAGAAGATTCAATTTACTCTTCACCTCAATGTGTAGGTCCATCTTAGAGTGATTTTGATATCCCATTTTATATCACTATTTTAATTGCATGGATGCTGTTAAAATGTTATGTCAACACTGGTTTAAGATGGTCTTAAACTTCCAAACAACAGCCAACAACACTTAGCAAGCAACACTGAAAAATACTGGATTTGTTAATGGTGGGAAAGATACAGATGGAAAAAAAATTGTTTTTTACAGATGCTACCCAAAATATATTTAAATCATGCTAGTGAGTGTCCAGATTCTTTCCCAACATGGCAAAAAGGGTTTCAGAGTCACAACCTATAGCCACAGCCTTTCTTAGGGGAGTTTACACCCCCCATCCATGAGCACTGAATAATAAAATTTAGTATCACCAGTAGTATTCATATGCAAGTTCATTGAAAACGTCTGTTTCAAGGATTTAAGAGAAAACTTCTGATACGATATCATGTGTGTGAAATACTGTGTACAGAGCACATTGCATACTGCAAACACATAATACATTGCAGAGAAAGACAGTTTAGGAGTTCCCCACGGTTGTTCCCCAGGGAAAAAGAAACTAGAATGAAAATGGTCATATTTGGTGTGTAGAGGCACAGATTTAACAATAAAACATTATCTTAAGTCTTAAATAACCAATTTCATTGTGTCTGTTTCCACTTTATCTTTGAGCTAAATTAAAAGTAATTCTGACTCTGACTTCTTAACCACTCTCGGTTTAAATATTTACCCAAAGGAAACCTCTCAGTTTCAGGAGTATTTCATGGAGTGTTTTCATTATACTTGCATCTACATGCAAGTATAAAGATATCATATCTGATCATCTGAAAGGAGAAGAAAATATCAAATCCTCTCTCTCGCTACAAAAGAGAAACAATTCACCCAAACCGTTAAAGGTAAGGTGATAGTAAATTCTCGTGGTGTGATTCCACGCATTTTTTTCAGGTTTCATATATAGGAGGCGGTTGCTTCCTTTTGCTTTTGTCAATGACAGGGTACCATTGCAAATATTTTTAATATTTAATACACAGCAGATGATCTATCCAACTTAAATAATGAAATAATTCAGTTAAGAAAATAAAAACTGGAAAATTAAGATAGTACACTTATTCATATACAAATTACTTCTGTTTTCATTCAGAGCCCACTAGTTATGAGTTGTGTTGTGAACCCAGGCTCAAAAATATAAACACTGTTTCACTCTGTCACTGTATGTATACCTCATGCTCCTAGAGCACTTTTACGTGTAGATTCACCTGTACGTGCAGATGCACAGCAGCATACAGTCCAATAATGAATCTCCTCTGAAATGCTATTCTGGTTAATAAGACTGACCTGTTTGCTCAGGACCACAAAAAAGTCATTAGCTGAAGCCAAAGCTCATGAAACATTAAAAAAAAAAATCAGAAACATTGGGACTTTAAGTCAACACAATACTAGTCTGATCCAGGGTTTTCCCAAAATCAGAGGGTTGCTACTCTAATTTGAAATAACTACATCCCTGACAAAACCGGTACAATCATTTCCAAAGATTGAAGAGTAGGGAACCAAAGCAACTTCCTAAACAACCTTTGCCAGGAGCAGAGAATTTGCATTTAGGAAGAAAAGCCAAAGAAAATGTTCTTAGCTGTACTGATATACAGTGAAAAAAACCCCACATCTTTGCATCAGAAAATGGAAAATAGATCACCCAAACTTGGGATTATTATTTTTTGTGTTTGTTACCAAGCAACGAGTCTCTGAGTGTAAAAGGGATAGTCTATATAGAATGAACACAAAACACTCTCAAATACAGCAAACAAACTAGGTTATTGTGACGTATTATCTTTATAGTTATGATTCTCACGACCTTTTGACAAATATTATTACAGAGTGGTATCACCTACCTGAAGTGGTTTGTCTCTAAGAAAAATGCAAACAAGGTTGTCAAAATTTTCACTAGCTGCCGGTTCATTCCTCCTGCTTTCTGTGATGATTTGGAAATATCCCAGAAACGATTCCAGAGAGATGCAGGGAAAAAGTAAGCTGCTGCTGCCTAGATTTCCAAATTCAGCAAAAATTTAATTTTCTTGACAATCAGGAAGAGAAGGTCTGGATCTCTACAAAGTAGGGGTAAAAGAGAAGTGCCAGTCCTTGGAATCATGGTCAGGTCAAGCCTAGGCTCATCTCCAGCAGTCAGCACGAAAGAGATAAGGCATCAGACACAGTCGTTCCCCCGACTTGCTTTTGGTGATGGAGGGGGGGGAAAAAAAAAAAAAAAAAAAAAACAAGCAAAAAGAAGAAAATAAATGGAAAGAAAGGGGGGAAAAAAGGAAAAGAGAAGTGGAGAAAACAGAACTACGAGAGGAGCATCAGGCAAAAGGGAACAGCGCTGAGAGCAGTTCTGTTGTCGATATGTTTTATTCCCCTTTCGCTGACAATTAGTATTTATGAACGGTGGTGGGGCTACTGGGTCGCTCTGCTTTCCCCCTCGTTGGGTAGGGAAGCGTCGGCGTTGCCGGGGAGGGCGGGAGGGTGTGAGGGAGGGGGCTGTGGTGCCGGAGGGAGCGGGGCGGGGATGCCCGGCGCTGTGCTGGAATGGGGCGGCCGCGCGCGGCTTCAGCGCTCGGACAGCTCCGCGCCCGCGCTGCGCATGCGGGGGGCGCGGGCGCGCCCGGGGCGGCAGGCCGTGCCGGGCGGGAGCCGCCGCCCGCCGCTCCCCGCGTGTCCGCGGAGCTGCGCGGAGCTGCGCCCCTGCCCTCAGCCCTGCGCAGGGCACCCGGCCGTAGGGAGAAGGCTGAGCCGGGGCCTCGTCACCCTGCGGAGCTGCGCCCCTGCCCTCAGCCCTGCGCAGGGCACCCGCCCGTAGGGAGGCAGCTCAAATGGAGCCTCGTCACCCTGCGGAGCTGCGCCCCTGCCCTCCACCCGCGCAGGGCACCCGCCCTCAGGGCTGAGCCGGGGCCTCGTCACCCTGCGGGAATATCGAAACTGCGGGCCTCGAGAGGAGGGGGCCGGGTTCTTGTCCGTGGTGCCAGCCGCTGGGAGGAGAGGCACCAGGCAGAAGCTGCTGCACAAGTTCCACCTGAACATGAAGAGCTTTACTTTCAGCAGTGTGGAAATCAATTCCTGCAAAGAAATTGGGAATTTTACACATCCCGCACTCCCAGAATTAAAGGAACTATTGTTCTTTCTCCAGTTTTAGGTTGATCTAGATATATTTTTAAGTCCTGCCACAGAACTAGTGCACCTGAACACTGCTTCACTTCCGCAAGAGTATTTGCACATGCACACGTTTTTCATATCTCCATGTAAAAACCTTCAGCTTCGTGACAACGACTATCACCATGTGTCTAGTCAGCTTAAAAAAAAAAGCTTCTGAAAAAGAGTTGTTCTGTTCACACATTAGCAAGAGATCAAAGCCACATACTGTTCATTAAATGATACTCAGCTGTTGCATTTTGTTTCTTTTAGTTTAATAAGGTAGGATGTATCTGAAAAAAACAGAAATTAAATTGAATATATAAAATTTAAAAATATAGAAAATCATAGAATGGTTGTGGTTGGAAGGCATCGTAGATATCATCTACTTCCAGCCCCCCTGCCATGGTCATGGACATCTTCCACTAGACCAGGTTGCTCAAAACTCCACCCAGCCTGACCTTGAACACATCCATGTGTAGGGTGTCCGCAACCTCTCTGGGCAACATTTTGAAGTACCTCACCACCCTCACAGGTAAGAATTTCTTCCTAATATCTAATCTAGACCTGCCCTATTCCAGTTTAAGGTCTATCACTACATATTCTTGTAAAATGTCCCTCTCCAGCTCTCTTGTAAGCTCTCTTTAGGGACAGAAAGGTGCTATAACATCTCCCTGGAGCCTTCTCTTCTCCAGGCTGAACAACCCCAACTCTCTCATAGGAGAGGTGCTCCATCCCTCTGATCATCTCTATGGCTCCCTCTGAACTTGCCCCAACAGGCCAATGTCCTTTTTGTTCAGGATGGGCCCCTGAAGCTGACACAGCACTCCAGGAGGGGTCTTACAAAGCAGAGGGGGAGAATCCCCTCCCTCGATCTGCTGGTCACACTGCTTTTGCTGCAGTACAGGAGGTGTTAGTATTTCTAGGCTGCAAGCACACTGCCAGCTCATGTCCAGCTCCCTGTCTGCCAACACCAAGTCCTTTCCCCGAGGGCTGCTCTCAGTCCATCCTCTGCTCAGCCAGTATTTGTGCTTGGGATTGCCCTGATGCAGGACATTGTTCTTGGTCTTGTTGGACATCACAAGGTTCATGTGGCCCAGCTCTCAAGCCTTTCAAGAAGCTTCTGGATGGCATCCTTTCCCTTTAGCCTAACCACCACACCACACAGCTGAGTGTCATCCTTAGCCTTGCAGAGGATGCACTCCATCCCACCATCCATGTGACTGTCGAAGATGTTAAAATCAACCTTATTAGTGATCCTTAGGCACAAACGCTAGATAATGCAACCTTTTATGCACAAAAGATTGAAATAACTGAAAGGGCAACCCAAAGTTGCACATGTAAACTAAATTCCTTATTTCCTTAGCTGCTGAGTCTGTGTCAGTGACATAAATTAAGGTCCAGTAGAAGGAAGGGCACCATATTTGCTTTTATTAAAACTATCAAAGTTTATCATTAGACACAGAGCACTGATGCTGAATCACTGCACTGTAACATCACCTAACCCCTTCAGAAGACAGGTCTTCCCACTGTCATATTGAAGAGGAGAGGTTAAGTTATGTCTCTTACTGCAGTGTCTCATTCTGAGAAATAAAGCTCACAAAGCTGCATCTGGAAATAATGGAATTCTGAGTCAACAAAGGGGTGCATTTCAAAGTTCATGCCTGTTCCCATCTAGATAGGAACCCAGTAATAGTGTTGGATATTTGTACCTTGAGATAAATGGGAAAATTGGAAAGCCTGATTTCTATCAGCTGCAGGAAAAATCTGTCTCTTTAACCTACACTGCCACCTGCTTAAAAGTGTGGGGAATCTCAGAACTGCTTGCAGAGCTCGTAATGCAGAAGTCACTGAATACGGCAGATGTCTTTCCGATGAGTCTGTTAATATGGATTTTGTGACATGACATGCTTTTAAAGACCTATAAATGTTCATTACCCTTCTTGGTAACTGCAAGTAACTGAACATTTCCTTAAGTTTTCTAACTGTAGAAAACCTACTTAAAATTCTGCTTTCCAGGATTTAGCTGCTACTGGCCATTTTCTGCACTTCATGGCTTATTTGAAATGCTAAATAACTATATCTCTAAGCTAAACAAAAATTGCAGGAAGTTCTTCAAAGCATAGTTCCCTTAATTGATGTGGGCTTTTAAAAAACATGGTGAGAGATGTCATGATGAAAATTTAAAGTATCTGCTCCACCATTCGTTACACCTCCAAATGTCTAGTCTTCAGCGAGATATTACTCAGCGTGGTGGTTACATGGAAGTGCCAAGAAAAAATTAATTATTTAGCTTTGAAAATAGTGTGTTACTGATGCTTATTTAACTAACAACAAGAGTCATTCAAATAGTTCTGTACTTAAAATTCTGGAGGTTCAAAGCAAATGTTTTCTCTAATCAGACTTCCAGGTCAAGCTCCCGTGTACACTGGGGGTAACAGGGATCAATTTCAGTCCATCACCACTTTTTCATTAATTAACACGTGTATGAAAAACTTCTTACTTTCAGCTATTCTTGCAACACGGTTTCTCCTCATCCTACTCTCATAAAAAATGAAGAAGTTGTTTATAGTTGTTTTGAGTACTGTAGGTCTCTGAGCTGTCATTCATTCACAATGTAAATGTGTTTATTAAATGTGCACCCGATGGCAAGGGAGGATTCAGAGCCCTGCAGAGCAGGGAAACCATTTGGGAGCTCAGTTGCCTGGATGTGCATGGCACTTTGTGGTGTCCCCCTCCTGTGCCAGAGCCAGAGCTGTGAGGAGTTGTGCCACTGATGTGCAGCAGGTTCTGGATGAACTTTGTATGTTCAATTGCACAGATGGGATTCTTTCAATGTCACTCATTTGTTATCTCCCACAACACATTTCTGACAGCAGAAGTGTTGCAAATAAATAGGAGTCAAAGACTCCCACCTGGGATTGGAGGGGAGGCTTGTAAAATGGCACAGGGATGGGCACGAAGACAAGATGGAAATGTTTTCAGGTGAAAAGGCTAAATAACACATCCCTGTGGTTTCCCAGGCATACACAGAAGCTTAATAATTGTTCCAAATATGGCATATTATTTCAAGTATGAGCTAATTCAGTCCAATTTCTCTATTTCACCTGAGTTTCTCAAGCACTAACTTACTGGGCAGAAAATAGGACAGAATTACCCTGTTTCCATGTAAATGGTTCTATAGCAGTTAGTTGATGGAACATGATTTATGTTTGTTTGCACTGTTTATGCATTTCTGAAAACCTAAGAAATGGAAGAAATAAGGTCATACCTCCTGCTCAAGTTATGATAAATAAGGGATCCAGATGCATGCTTCTGAGAGAACAAGATCCATCACTTCAAATATGCAATTAGTGTCTATAAGAAGAGAAAATTCAATATAACTTTCAAACTGGTATGTCAAATTATCATAATTGTTGGATGCTGGTTAACAATGACAAGTGTATTTCAATATAGTGCCAAATATAAATGAATTGAGAGTACAGTCTATGTAAAATTTCCAATTATAGTGAAAGCAAAAAAAGCCAAAACAAAAAGCTGAAGGTAATCTAATGTGACTGTATGTTGAGATAAAGATAAGAAACCAACTGGCCTGAATTTTGAACCATACATAACTGTGTATGAACCATAACAAACTGTGTAAAGGATCAAACAATGTAATTAAATCCTGCTTCTTTTTAATTGTGGAAACTCTGTTAATAAGAAGTCTCCATGAATGATAGTGATAGCCTTAGTTGTCAGAAAAAGGCATTAGCTAGATTTTCAACTGTCCAATAT